TCCACAAATTGGACTCATTTAGGGCTATATTTTAATATAAATTGTGTCCTCAAATGCTTATTTAGTCTAAATATCTGATGAAATACTTAAGTTTCAGGTATTTGAAGTTTTAGTGGAAGCATGGACACTTAGGCTAAAAAAGGAACAAAAAAACTGAAAAGAACGAAGAAGCTGAAGGGACGCACTCCACCCTTTGTTCCAGTATGTGAAGCCCTAAAGGAGAAGGATAAAAAAGGCAATGAAAGGAGCAATCGGCGCTTCGCCGATCTATTCCGCGAAGCAGAAGTATACTGCCTAATGATCCAGAATGCACAGATGGTGAAGGCAAAGCACAAACGGCGATGAACTAGAAGAAGGGTGAATCGCCAAGTCATTTGGCGTTCGCGACTAACCTCACCGAGCCATCCTCTAGCATAATTTTTTGAAGTCTATAAATACTAAACTCTTTACTAGTTTTGAAAGAGAGAGAGGAGAGTCTGAATATTATTGTCATTGTTACTTTAGCTTTCATATTTTTTCTCAAGTTTTGGAGAGGGTTTTGAAAACTCGAAGAAGAAGAAGGTTCATCTCTTTTAATTTGGTTGCGGGTCTTTTGGATTCTTCACTCCTTGCCTAAATTGAGACTTAAATCTTCATACCCATTTGATTTCAACATTATTGAAGGTATAAATTTCTATTTCTTGATGTGTGGCTAAAAACCCCAATTCTTGGGGTGTGATTTAGAGAATATGGGTTAAGATTGTTGTTAGGTCTTGCTTGATGATAGATTAGATGTAGTTTAATGGTGATTTCGTCTAGTAGTTGTGGTTGAATCTAACAAATTTTTAGTTGAAAATACAAGATTATTTATGTGTTTTCGGCTTGCTCGAGAGAGAGGTTGCGAAACTAAGACTACTAGATTAATGGCCTAAGGAGTGGGTTGACATGAGGTTCAGCTCGAGAGAGTGAACCCTAGTCCCATATCCTAACACTCAGCTCGAGAGAGTGAGTGGGGTAAGGAGTAGGCTGGTCTTCATGCGGCAAGTGGGTGTCCGAGAGGAACCCATTTGAAATGGGGTAAGTTGCTCGAGAGAGAATTTATACCCACGTATAGCTTAGCCTAGTCACTATTACTCTATAAATTTTCTATCGAAAGCATGTACCCAATAATTCAGATTAACCCGTATTCTGGTCACATCCCAAGAATCCTTTCTCATTACTTATAAATTGTAACATCTCGCAAAATCGAATTAACTAGGAAGAGGTTAAGAATTTGGAAATAGTCATTTTTGGAAATAATGAAAAATCTGGAAAATTGTCTAAGTTAGGAAAAGTTAGATTTTGGTCAACTTCAAATGGCCATAACTCCTAACTGAAGATGAGTTTGGTATAGTTACGAATATGGTTGGAAAGCCCTTGGAATGATCTTTCCAACGCCTCCAAGTTTGCACGATTCCGCGTTCTTATGAGTGAGTTATCCCCGTTGAAAGTTGGGATGTTCGAATAAGGGAAGTCCAATCCGGATTTTAAAAGGTATTTTGGTCTTTTCCAAAACCAATTGGTTTAATTCATTTTTAGTGAATTAATTAGGGTCTAAACTGATTTGGTTCAGTTTACGCTTTCACAAAAGAGTTAGGGTTTTTGAGAGAAGAGAAAAGAAGAGGGGAAAAGAGGAGAAGAAGCAAGGATTCGTCAAGATCGTCGGGATTAACTTGTGGATTTCGTCGAGGGTGATCCCTACAAGGTATGTGAGTCTCTCATAGCGTTGGGTTAATTCATCCATGCTCCAAACATGTTTAGTTCAGTGAAATTCGTCCTAAAAGAGTTTGGAAGTTGATGTTCTTGACATGAATTCTTGAATTTGAATGATGTTCTTGAATTGGGATGAATTGAGAAGTTTCTGAGTTCGTTACGTCGCATTATAGAGTTGTTTCGAGTTAGGTATCTGTATCTAAAGGTAATTTGATAAAAAGAGCTGAGGTTGGGTGATTTGGGGATGGAAAACGAAGAAGAAATTTCGTCGGACGAAATTTGAGTGTGGGAACGCGTCGCGTGACCTGTTCCCAGAATTGAAAAATTCTGCTCTGCATCGTGGAGCTGACACGAGGTGTTCTGCCTCAAAAGACATTTTCAGAACTAAAATTTAATTATGCCTCCGCATCGCGGACCCACCTTCAAATCTTGATTTTCGGTCTTTTCTCATGTATAGCTATCTTAAATCATTCCTAAACATCATGAGATCTTTCCAATCACAAATCTTAATCCTTGAATCCATAATTCAATTCAAGGATCAGTTAAGAGTCAAGTCAAGAGTAGTTAAGATCAAAGTTAAAAGAAGTCAAGAGTCAAGTTAGGATAAGTTCTTAAAGTTTTCAAAAAGTCTTTCACAAATGTTTTAACTTTGTTTTAAGACTTAAAGTTCAAGTTGAGTAAAGAGTAAAG